AGCAGAAGTGTTCCAGCCTATGTCATATTTATTTGTCTCTTACTTGTTTGCTACTAGTTTTTAGATGAAAATTTGGACCTTGTACAGATAATTATGCCAAAAAAAAAAAAAAAAAGTTCAATAGTTCAGTTAACCTTTCCTTTCCTGAGCTTCTCCGTCCTGCCCAGAAGTACTATATCAAAACAAGGACTGTTGGCCCAAAGCCTGGAAAAGGGAAAAAGAGTCAAGAGGCCAGGCGTGGGATTCACTGTTAGGCTTTCTCTGAACACTTCATTAACTGTATCACTAGGGGCTATTCTATATTTCCAATGCTTACCAGCACCTAGCCATGTGCATATTAGTTAACCTAAAGAAGCCAATTCTGTAAAATGGAGTTCACAGGTATCTAGCAGTTTTGGCGTATTAAATGAGAGCCTTTGTGTGTGCATGTGTGCTTGTTTGTGACTTCTGCTTCCAGATGTAACAGGTTCCTTGGTATAGGACTTCTTCATTTTAAAACTGGTAAAATATCTGATCCAACTTTCAAATAATGGACAAGAGGTAGCATTAGATAGTGGCCCTAGAAGTAGGGGGACAATGAAAAAAGGTGATCTCTATGATGCCTCTAGACATTTACCTGGAGGCACTTTCGGGACAAGGGCACAGAACTTTGAAGAAAGAAACCATGAAGATTAGAATTCAGTATGTCTGAGGGAGCAGATATGTGCTAGGTATAGTACCTAACAGAAGGAATTCTCGGGACAAAAGGGGCTCAGAAATTTGAATAAAGTTCTTGAGACTTGGGCAGAACAGTCGACTGCATATTGGATTAGGTTAGCAATACATTAAGACACTATGAAAGAAAGAAAAAAATACAGTGAGTCTGAAGATATATGCTGTAGTTTAGATCTAAACTGTTCTCCCCTAAAGTAGTGGTAGTGAACCTATAGCATGGATGTTGTTTGTTTTTCTTTTAACAAAAAAGATGTTAAACTAAAACCTCAGTGTTCAAGTGTAACTGCTGTGCTGGCACTGTGCAACAGATAAGGGAGTTTTGGGTTATACTTTGGGGTACTTGTGTTTAAAACGTTTGCCATCACTGCCATAAAGTCTTGTGTGTTTAGAGGTGGTGACTGGACCATACAGGCGCTATACTCATCACAATACTCATAGCTGAGTGTGCTGTTGATAGGTGGAACCTGGTTGCAGGAAGTGCATCTCTGGGAGTGTGATCTGGAAGGGTGTATTCCTGTCCCTGGCCCTTCCTTCTTGTTTGGCTCTTGCTTGTTCTCTCTGCTTTTAGCCATCATGAAGTTTCTTTGTCTCTTGGAGCTAGTTGACCATGGACTGACATCTCTGAAATCATGAGCCAGAGTAACCTTCTCCTTTAAAGTGTAATTTGTCCCCAAGATACAAAGCTGAGCAATACAACATATCAACCATTTAACAGTTTACTCCAAGTGTCACTCGGGTAGCATGTTTGTTTAAGTACTCATTACCCTGAGAATCATTTGGGCAGGTTTCATTTCAATCAGCTGATTTTTGTATTGAATAAATTTTTTAAAATTATCATTTTTATATTTCCTGTTATATTACTGTCTTGGTTACTTTTCTCTCCTTGCTGAGACAAATAGCCTGATGCCCAATATTGAGGGAGGAAAGATTTATTTAGCTCACAGTTTGTGGCAGTTTCAGCTAGCTCCAGGCAGCGTGGCACATGGCAGAGGGACAACAGTTCATGTGGTACAAGACAGAATAAGCAACAAGAACAAAAGGGGACAGCAAGCCTCTTTTCCTCCCTTATACTATACACAGGCTACCTACCTCAGGGTGGGTGTAACCCAGTCCCAATCCCAGCATTAGACAATGAAGCAACAACAAACTTTAGATTCAGCAACCCCCAGAAAGCCCACTCCTTGATTACATGAAGCTTTAGGGGGACACTGAGACACAAACCATAATAATTATAAAGATTATGCAATTTTTGGCTATCTGTATTTAAATAACTGGACTGGTCAAGTAGTTAAGCAAAGACTTTTTTAAAAGTTAAAAAACATAGCCTCATTAATGTATGATATAGCAGTATACAGTATAGTGATACAACTTATATGTAATTAGAGACACAGAGGTAGAACAGGGGAAGAAAAATAAAAAAGATATATAATTTGATGACTACAAATTATAGATTCAAGTAAGATATATAGTAGAAATGATTCTTTAAAAGCATTTGTTCTGAAAAGCATTTTTTCCCAAGGATTATACTGAAATAAATTTCTTGACACAATATTAGTCAGAATGATGAGATTAAGAACACAATGCAGAATCTTTCTTTTGGGTGTACCATGGCAGAGGTTTGAGGAGCTGCTTGTTACCTATTTTGGTGTTCTATTATTATTTAATATGGGTTTAAATGATGAGTCCAAAAGACTCCTCCAGCTGTCCCTTTTGGGATGGGATAAAGGTAATTTTGCATATTGTCTTTATTAGAGTTTTTGAATGAAAATGCTTTTTTTTTTTTTTTTTTGTCTTTTTCCTTTTTATCGGTTCCAGGGATTGAAGTCACAACTGCCTGCTTGCAAGGCAGGCTCTTATGCCACTGAGCTAAATCCCCAGCCCCTTGAAAAGACTTTCTTGTTCACTTTAGGAAGCTGACACCCTCTTGGTTTTGGCTTGGGCATGGTCTGAGTGGGTCTCTGAAGGGTTCATGTGCTGGAGGCTTGTTTCCCAAGGTAGCAGTACTAAGTAGTACTAAGAGGTGGTAGAACCTTTGGGAGGTAGGACCTACTGGAAGGTGTTAGGTCATGGAGGCACTACCTTGGAAGGAATTACTATTGGACTCACAGAGTCAGTCAGTTTCCATGAGAATGAGTCATTATAAAAAGAGTAAGACCTCCCACTCTCTGGCATCCTGTGGAATCATGTGACCTTTTCCACATGCTCTCACTGTATTCATGAAGCCTGAAAGTGAGCAGAAGCTAGCCCCCCACGCTTTTGGGCCTCCAGAACTGTAAGCTAAATATTTTTTTTTTCTTTATAAATTATCCAGCCCCAAGTATTTTGTGACACCAAGGTAAAATGGACTAATACACACTCTGAAAGGGCAGGATGGAAACTGAGCCCTTCTCAGGAGATTTGCCTAAAAAGATTGAAGTACATTTCAGAGAGGAGTTTGGTGAAAAATGATGCTTCCGCCACTACAGCCCTTCCAGGGGTAGAACTAGCAGTGTTTCCTGAGATCCACGCCATGTTGGAGCTTAGGACTCTGGGAAGCCAAGCCAGCACCTCCCCTCCCTGGTAAGCGGCGGTAGTGTGGCCCACTGCAGCCCTTCCAGGGGGAGAACCAGCAGTGTCTCCTGAAATCCACACCATGTTGGAACTTAGGACTCTGGGAAGCCATGCCAGTATCTCCAAATTAAAAAAAAAAAAAAAAAAAAAAAAGATGCTTCCTAAGTGTATTATGTAATTCTAAATTACAGTGAGAGGCAGGTTGCCAATACAGGTTCTTCTCCCTTTGGCCTTCAAAGTTGTTGGTATATTGGGGCAAAATGTGCACAAATTGCTTATTCCACTGTCATACTAAGCAACCTAGCTATACATTTCTCATATGAGTCTTCATCTTGAAGATGTGGCTGAGTTGTGTAAATCTTATCAGTTCCCAAATTGACTGTTCATTTATATAACCAGGAAACTTAGATATTGTCTTGTCAGGTTCTTTGTGGTGATAATTTAACAAATTAGGACAGGATGAATGAATTGTACAGGACGAATATCAGAATATTTGGATGAATAGGGTTTAAGGGTACAGAGATTTAACATTTCATGCAGTTGCAAGCTGAGTATAGAACATTATAATAATATTTAAGAGGCTGGTCTATTTATGGCTTGTAATAGTCTCTTCTGCATGTCGTTTCCAAGTTGGCAACAGCAAAACCATGGCAACAGGAAATTCTTTCCTGCAGTGGAGTTTATGAATGCTTTCTGTTTTCATGACTCAACTCCTTATTTAATTTCCTGTACAGAAAATCAGAGAAATTAGTATAGACTGCAATACAGATATGCCAATCCAAAGACCTTTAAACAAAAACACATTATAGATGTCTTTGGAAGAATTTTGAGATAAAATTTAAAACTGCCTCCATGTAGACATGCAGAAGTCAACATATTCTATCAAAATAGATACCTGAGAACTACTGATGACTTGAGGTATGGGAATGGAGAACCTTTTTAAGTTCATGTGTCATAGCTAAATGGATTGCTTCATTATTGTCTTTTTTTTTTTTTTTTTTCTCTCCATATCAGGGATCAAACTCATGACCTTGAGCCTGTCAGTCAGGAGCTTATGCCACTGAGCTAAATCCCCAGCCTCATTATTGTGTCTTTAATCAATAAAGACCAAAGCTAAAAAGCCTACTTTCTTAGAAATTAAGATAGGGGCTGGGGATTTACCTCAGCGGCATAAGCAACCTACCTTGCAAGCAGGTAGTCCTGAGTTCGATCCCTGCTACCGATAAAAGAAAAGAAATTAAGATAGACTTTGGACATTAATAACAACAGCAAAGAACAAAAATCTCCTAGATATTAAAAGAATATGAAAACAAGAAACTATACAAAGACTGATTATATACATAAAAGTATACATATCCTAAAATAAGTTAATGAAACCAAGGAATTCTCTAGGGCTTAGAATTAGATGGTTGTAAGTTTTCAATAGGTTTTAATCTTCTACCATTCACGTAAGTGTAATGACATTTACAGCATAAATATCCAGGAATAATACTGCCCAATCTGTGTCCACTCCCCTATTTGGTTCACATCCCTGATATAATTTTCTTACAGTCCAATATTAGTATTTGATCATGTTCAGCTGTGCTGGGGCTATAATCTCCTCCTTTGGCTTTCTTTTCCCCCTTGGCAGACTTTTTTTTTGGTAAAAATGTTGATGCTGTCTTATGGATGATTTAGCAAACACACATCAGAATATAGGAAAAAAACAAGCACAGTAGGAAGACATCAGCTCTTACTTTTGGTGTCAAGCTGTGCACGATACTTCTCAAATCCTTTCAGTCGAACTCGTTCTCCCAATAGCTGAAGGAATTCCTCAAAGGCTGGGCCTGCTGATTCATTGTTATACATCTCTTCTTCAGTGCTCTGTCCAGCTTTGCAGTACATGATGCCAACTTTTTGCTGATAGTTCAGCTGTGGAGTGGGCAACACAATGCATGTAAATGTAGGCAAACACACTTCATCCCACTTAAATGCTAATTACCCTTCTAGGGTGCATGACTAGCCAACAGCTAACACTGCTCTTTCTCTTGAAGCCCTTCTATTTTAATGCTCCTGTCTCTAATCCAGAATGCAGAGAATAGCATTTATAATCCTCATGAATTAAGAGGAAAGACCAAAAAAGTTTTTTTAAAAAATCCTGTATTTTAAGATCACAAATCATTAGAACAGATGTGGATATTTTAGGAAATTCCTATTACAAAGTATAAATGAGGCTTTAAAAAGTGGCCTGACAACAAAGGCAGTTCTTTTCCAATCATCTTCCCCTTTTTAAAAGTGAGGGCTTTATAAAAATTTAAAAGCAGAGATCTACTTTACAGAATCTATCTGAAAATAAGCTTTCTTGCACTAAAAAGTCCACTAATATCCTTGCTTTTGAGGGAGGGGTAAAATTAGAGAAGACTTGTCCTCTACCATGATTTGTCAAACATATTAAATTATAAACCTTGGTTATCTTTGTTATAGCTCTAGCACTATCAACAATGTACTTAGAAGATTCAGGGTGGCACATAATTGTAATCCCAGCATAGGGGAGGCTAAGGCAAAAGGATCATCTTGGGTTTGAGGGCAGCTTATGCTATATGAGTTCAAAGGCAGCCTAAAGAACACAGCAAGATACTGTCTTAAAAACAAAATACCCCCTGCTCCCTAAAAATCACAATATTCTTAGAGAAACTTATTTTCCAAGTAGTTTTCTGAAAGGTCAAGTATATGAAGAGAACTTTTTTTAAAAGAAAGCTTTATACTGGTAAATCAACAAGCACCATATATTTCTCACTCAGTTACAATGAAACACTCAACATTTAAATGTGATGTACTATTAATCAAAAAATTAGTCACCATTGAGCAATATTCTGCAAACTAATTTTACTGAGATACTGATCAATTAACAAGTGAATTTGCAATATAAAAATTTAGGTTTTTAATTCTTCAGTATCATTGGGACAGTATTTAGCACTCAGGCTTGTTTCCAGTGTGATTCTGCTACCACTGCATAGGAGATTTTCATTTAATATAAAGAAAAAGGAAAGGAAGAGGCGAAGTTTTTAAAAAATTATTTTTAAGACAAGGTTTTAATGTGTTGTCTCATGGGCCCTGAACGTCTGGGCTCAAGCGATCGTCTTGCCTTAGCCTCCTGGGTGTTGGGACTATAAGGATGACTGTGCCTGGTGAGTACAATTTCAATAACTAATACGTGTTGAACACCTATTACATAACAAGGACCAAGTCCAGTGTCGTCTAACATCACTGTTTGATCCTCACAACAGTCCACAGATCTTACCTTCTGAGAGATAAGCAAAGGGAAGTTTAGAGAATAGGAGAGAACATGGTAGCCCTAACTGTAATCCTGTGCTATGGCTCCAGGAAGTGTCTCTAGGACTAAACCAGACTTAGCCTGCTCCACTTCTATCACCGCACAGATAGGTCCACAGACTATTTAAATCTCTGAAGTTGAAAGGTAAAAACTAAATTTAAGCAAACAGATTTGGCAGCAATATTCGAGATGGGGCTGACATTAGTACTTTTAATTTATTCTTGTGTGAATATTCATATTTCTCCCTGCATAAATATTAATATGTCTGATTATGGAGTGCTGATCCCAGATTCCACTGGGAATATTAATATATGGTGTATGTATTTTAATTCTCTTCTAAAATTTGAACATTTCTGAGTTCTGCAACACATTCAACCCCTGCTATTTTAGTGGACTATGGACTTGAATTACCTTTTTAAAGTGTCTAAATCAAATGGTTCAAAATAGTTCTAATATGGAAAATGTTACCTGGAAAAAACAAAAAACTGTGCTTGCTCGTTCCTACTCTCCTGCACCCTATCTACTTGACAAGGAAGCTCAACAGCTCTCACATAACCCACAGATATAAGCACTCCCTGGAGTTCTGTGATTTCCCCAAACCAACTTTGCTTTGCTCCTGTGGGAAAGTAAAGTTCCAACTCTGAAACTTGCAAACAGCTACATATACAGTACTGATACAAAAACTTGGGGCAGGGCATTTTTAAAAGAATATAGGCACTGACACCATTGCTATTTCATTTTAATTATTAACAGGAATAGATATGAAACTTTTTTATGTACCATACAAAGAAATGAACAAAACAAAACACAAGGTAAAACCAGCTGTCTATCACACACATTTAGCCCCTTTCTCAGCAGGCTGTTTCTAACATCTGAATGGGCTAAGGCTAGGAGTGGAACTCCCACAGGTAAGGGTTCATCTTGTCTTTTAAACTGAGTGGAGTACCGTATTAGGGTTTAACAAAGTGACAGTTAGGCACTGCATCTATTACAAAGGAAGTCCGAAACCTGGACTGCCAGGTCCAGCCATCATTTGATGCTCTCTGCAGGGAAAACTATCAAAGAGATAAAGCAATGTGGAGGATGGTAGAGGCTTTCAGTTCTACGATGTGTGGCTCTGCCTCTCAGATCAGCCTCCACAAGAAAGAATGCATAACAAAAGTCACCCTGCTTAATAGTATTACAGTAGCAATGGATTGTGTAGGCTTTTTACAAATGTCTTAGATAAAGGTCTAAGATTTCACCATGTAACATTAAAAAAGGATTCATTTATTTAAAAAGTAATTTTGAAGAGTTCACTGTGGAAAGATAAGTAAAGAAATCTCCTGGAACATTAGATAAGAGGATTCCAATAACAACCAGACAATGTGCCCCTTCTTTTCACTGATTTCTCATACTCTGCTGAGCTCCAACCAGGAGAACTGGTTTTGCTACCTTGAAAGGAATACCCCATTAAAGGCATTAAGAAATTTCTTAGAATGTCAAATATCCTCCAGTCTGAAACTTTGCCAAAAGTTGCCTGCAGCATAGGTGGTGAACCTATGCTACATGTGCCACAGTGGGCTGTTTGTTAGCATCAAAGCCTCTGAGGTTCACCATCACTGTCCTTGGGCAAGTGTATGACTGACTATATCCCTGATTTTTAGATCAATTAGATCAAATGTAGGTGACAGTCTCTAAACTTACGCTTTACCAATCACTGATTAGTAATCATGTCCCTGCCATAGTATAAGAAGTTATGAAGAAGTTATGTAAATGTTACAAGAACATTTTAAGAGAAGGCGTAAATGTCAATGACTAGGGAATTCGGGTTGCTCTGAGGTTATCTAAGCTATCATTTATTCTCTTTGAGGAACACACAAGCACATCTGTGTATATTTATGTATACAAACATGCAGTACTTAAATGTAATGCTCAAAACAGAACAAAGATGACACCAGAACTGTACTAGGAACAGGTTTTGGTTTAATCCACAGTTTTATGATTTTGCTTTGGATAATCTCTAGTTCATTTCATAATGTGACTTTAACTACATGCTTGCAGAAAAGCTGTTCATATGGAACACTGATGGAAGTGTTTAGGGACTAAACATGTTTCTATTTATAAAACATGATTATGGTCAGTCTAAAAGGCCAACAGCTGTAACTGGGATAAAGGTCTTCAATAATCAGCAAAATAAAGTATCTTTCAACACCTATCAATAGTAATGTGGGTTCCCTACAATCAAGAGCTGACAGAACCTACATTGGCTCTTTTTCTTATAAAGCAAGCACTTGAACACAAAGAAACAGATATAAGGGATGATCAAGATATACAGTACAATGTTTAAATTTTAAAAAAATTATTTCTGTAAAAGACATATTGTCACTAATGTGCCTCAAAACACGCCCATCTTCCTTCAAACATAACTATCCCACCATTCTTGCTCCTTTCTGAAACAGTTCTGCAAGTTCTCTTTCATGAACATTTTTAGGAGTATTAAAAAATAAGATAAAAAAACTGGATGAATGTTATTGTTGAGCGCCATCCAATGGAAAAGCATGCTCATAAAACATCTTATTCACCAGATCTGGCATCCTGAAACTTATGGCTCTTCCTTAAAGTTAAAATGACTATGAACGTTAACATTTTCAATGATTCAGGACATCTGAAGTAGTCACAACAATGCAACTAAATATACTTGCAAAAAGGGGCAAGAATTTATAGGATACATGTGTTTGAAGTGAGGGGTTATAATTTGAAGGGGATTAATGGCAATAAGTCTTTTACTGTAATAAAATTTTGAAAATCAAATTTTAAACATTCACCATATTTACAGATGGTACATTCCAAATCTGAATTGTTCTAAAGTTTTATCATGGTTTATGTCAGTGGCCCCCAAGCCTTATGAATTATGTACGACCAAATCTAGCACTTGTGATTGGTTTGTTGTCTAGCGCTTGCCTGGATTGGTGGTGTGAATGCTACAACTGCCTAGGGGTGGAGCCAGGATACAATGTAACAGCGGGAAGAAGGTGTGTCCCTCCCCAGGTTCTTGCCTTGCAGTTTGCTGCTACCATGAACTGCAGCCTCCCTGCCTTGGAGCCAACTGAGTATGGACTGAAACCTCCAAGAACTGTAAGAAATAAACCTATCTGTCCTTCATTTTGGTTATCAGGTATTTTGTCCCAGCAACAAATAAAAAGTAACTAAGACAAGTTTCAAATTTTTTCAGTGAGATGTGACAATAAATGTATCACATTTTGGAGCATTCTGAATTTTGAATTTTTGGTTTAGGGATGTTCAACCACTAAAGTCTATGCAAATATTCCAGAATACCAAAAAACCTCTGAAATCTTAAAGACTTCTAGTGTTAAGTATTCCAGTTAAGGGGTGGACAACTGTTACTGCAAAATAAATTACACCACTCTAAGTTCCTGGGAAGACTCCTAAGCAAGTTAGAGCCCTTCCCCAATAAAAGATTTAAACAACCAAGTTGTTAGAGACCTCTCAGGAAGTTTTGCCTTTTTACCTCAGCTTGTTTGGCATCACAGTCAGGGGTAACAGAACACTGAACCAATCCATTGTTACAAAGCTTTCAGTATTCAATATTAAAATT